CGGAGGGCACTCTAAGACAACTCGGTTTTACATTCTCCTTTCCAGTGAAGCAAACTTCGATTTCATCCGGCACACTTATCAAGTGGACAAAGGGTTTTGCAATTGAGGAAATGGTCAGTTTATTGTACCTAGCCTATTTGAAAACCAAATCAAAGATGCTAACACATGAACGTGATTTTTTTTTTCAAGTTATACAAAACAATGTCCAGTATCATCCCGTATCAAAAAGTTTAAATGGGGAAAATCCTGTAGTTTCTTTGGACTTTCAGTTTGGCGATATGCTTATATGATTTGTCACTGTATAAATAGGCAAATAGCTATGAATAATGTACCTGCATGTTTACTTTGAAGTCAGGTTGGCAAGGATATCGTGGCTGAATTAAACGAGGCTATGAAACGTCAAGGACTTGTTATGAAAGTCTCAACATTGGTTTGTTTCTTCTTATATGTACATTATGCTTACTGGGTTAAATGTCAGGTCTATCTGTTAATATAGACTGAAATATAGGACTATTCTGTAGGTGAATGATACCGTTGGGACTCTGGCTGCTGGAAGGTATGTAGATGATGATACTATGATTGCCGTAATACTGGGAACTGGTACTAATGCAGCATACACAGAGAATGCACATGCAATTCCTAAATGGCATGCCCCCCTGCCCATGTCCGGAGATATGGTGAGTGTCTGTTCTGTACCCATGAATGCAACTTTGCAAGGCTGCATAGATCGCACAAACTATTTTGCTTCTATTACTAACAGTGTCACAAGAACAAGAAATGGTGATAACAGTGAAGAATGGCTTTTACCCCATTGATATGATGATTTTAATCCCCTCGAAAAAAAGATATGATTATTTTAATTAGTTGGTTTGTAACAGGTAATAAACATGGAGTGGGGAAATTTCAAGTCCGCTCATCTTCCACTCACTGAATTTGATCAAGCTTTGGATGCAGAAAGTTTGAATCCTGGAGAACAGGTATGTGGTGTCGCCCTTGATATAAAGTAATGGCACTTCCCTGTTTTATGGTTGATGAGCGTGGATAAGACAATTTCCTTCCAGAATTACGAGAAGTTGACCTCTGGTATGTATATGGGGGAAATTGTCCGGAGAATCTTGCTACAGATGGCTCAAGAAGCTGCTCTTTTTGGTGATAATATACCTCCAAAACTAGAGACCCCATACATTCTGGAGTATGTTGTTCCCGTTATCATCCACTACTTTATCATGCAAAGAAAGTCCTTCTCCTGAATTGCTTACAAATATGCTTTGTTGAATTTATTTCTTAACTGTAGTTATTGATGAGTCTGTAAATTCGACAAAAAGAGCACCTTAAACAAGAAAATCGTGGGACCTTATATTTACTGTGTCTTGTATGGATATGCTACTAGTAAAACTACAGTCACTGCATTTTTTTTCGTGCCAATGGCTAAACTAGAAGACCTCTGACCAGAAATATCTTGCTAGCCAATTCCATGAGAGTATATCTTCAGTTTTTGATTCAGCCTGCAGTGCAAACTTTGCAGAGTACTAAGCGGTCTTAATTTCAAAAAAAGTAAGTCAATGAAAATGAATGGAATGGTTCTTCCCTTAGCGTTTTTTGACTAATTTTCCATCTCACTTTGCGTTTATACATGAGCTGGCAGCTATTCAAACCAAACTTAACTGCTCAGTATTCGCACAACTGTCATCAAAAGGCTTGATTTCTTTTGTGCTACCAGGACATTTCACATGTTGGTGATGCATCATGATGTATCACCTGATCTCGAAACAGTTGGTATCAAACTAAAAGAAATCTTCCAGGTACCCTCGTCAATGAAAATTAAGTGACAGTGCCATTCTTTTTAATCCCTACCGCCAAACAACTCCTTTTCTGACTTGTATGGTTTTCAGATCGAGAGCACCTCAAGAAAAACAAGAAAACTGGTCGTGGATGTTTGCGAGGTCATTACCACACGTGGTGCACGGCTTGCTGCTGCCGGGATACATGGCATTCTCAAAAAGCTCGGTCGGGCTACTGACAGCCCCGATAAGCGAAGGACAGTAATCGCCGTGGACGGCGGAGTCTACAAGTACTATACTTTCTTCAGCGAGTGCATGGAGAGGACTCTGAGTGATATGCTTGGGGAGGACCTGGCACCCTCGGTTGTGATTAAACCGGCCAATGACGGCTCGGGCCTTGGGGCCGCTCTCTTGGCGGCTTCCTATTCTCAGTACCTCCAGGCTGATGAAGATTATTAGCTCAATCTGATAGTTCCTTTGATTCAGAAGCCATGGCAGCAGTATACCACAACATTCATCAAACTGCCTCAGTGTGATGCTAATTCGGTTATGAAGCTGAAAATAGACATTGCATATGGAATTCGTGGACGATTCGCTCATGTCAGCAACTCAGCATCGCTTCCAAAGTTCGCACTGGAGTCATCGACAGAGTGTTAGAACCATATGGAGAAAAACTTTCATGTTGTGGTAGAGAAGACGAGGAATCGAAGGAGCGCACTCTGACAGCTTGCATCTGTTCTTCATTCACGTCGGCAAAAATTGCAACCCTCATTCCGTTTCGTTGCTCGCTCTCGCCTGTCGACTCCTCGCCTTTGGTGGGAGTGCAACTGTTGATGCGATAGCTATCTTCATACTTTTATCATTCCCTTTTCTTGTCAGAATATTATTGTGTACATATATGTGTATGGCTTGTGCAGACAAGGAATGTGTGTCCAAGGTGTCTCCGAATGTATTAACCCTGAAGAATGGAATAAAGGCGGCCGCAAAGGAGTGAGAAAGCTGCAGAAAGATTTATTCCGTGCGCGTCCTGTTCGTTCTTTCTCCCGGCCGACATGATATATATGCATCTCAGAGCCAATGCGTCCCGGGCAGCCAGCTTGCTTGCCAGTTCTCCACAGCCGAATCGCTCATCTTAATCTGTAGCGGCTAGATAGAAGTTCATGGGCTGCTGCGGTGGGGGCACCATGTCGTCGTCGTTGTCGTCGAGGCCGAGGGGCGGCATCCGGGAGGAGACGCTGCTGCGCGTCCCGGGCGCGGCGGTGCACCTCGTGGCCGGCTCCGAGGGGCCCCTCGAGCTCGGCCGCGGCGAGCTTTCCGTCGTGAGGATCTTCAAGGACGACGTGGCGGTGACCACCGTGGTGCGCGTCGGCCGCGACCTCGGCTGGCCGCTGGCGAGGGACGAGCCCGTGGTCAAACTCGACCGCCTGCACTACCTCTTCACGCTGCCGGACAAGGACGGCGGGCTGCTCAACTACGGCGTCTCCTTCGCCGACGCCGCGCTGCTGCCGTCCTTCGACGCGCTCCTCAAGTCCAACTCCTGCTTCTCCACGCCTTCCGCGCCGTCGAGGGGCTCGAGGCCGCCGCCGCCGGCGTCGGCGTCGCCCGACGCGTACTGGAACGACTTCTCGCCCAAGGTGGAGAGCTACAACAACGTGCTCGCCAAGGCCATCGGCGCCGGCACCGGCCACCTCGTCAAAGGCATCTTCATGTGCAGCGAGGCCTACGCCAGCCAGGTACGTACTCCCCTCTGCTTCGTCCCTTCTGTCGTTGTTTATCTACCACAAGGTGACCGCTCTGAATCCACTGCCGTGCAGGTTCAAAAGGGAGCCAACCTGATAAACCCTCAAGCAGCCGGCGGCGCGAGCAAACGCTTCGGCGGCACCGGTGGAGCTGACGGGAGCAGCCAGGCAGGTCCGGCGAAGCGTGGAGGAGTCAACAAGAGCCTCAAGAGGTAGTAACTCGACTAACAGTATCTCTTTCATCCTGGTGTGAGTTGCTCACTTGTTCATCACCCATTCATCACTACTGATCTGATCTTGGTTGCTCAGGGTGAGGAAGCTGTCGGAGATGACGGAGAAGATGAGCAAGACGATGCTGGACACGGTCATCTCGGTGACAGGGTCCATGGCCGCACCGCTGCTCCGTTCCAACCAAGGGAAAGCCCTCCTCTCCACCGTCCCCGGAGAGGTCGTTATCGCCTCTCTCGACGCCATCAGTGAGTACTCTAGTGCCCTGGAAACACCCACGGGACCTCGCCGTAACGACCAAATCTTTTGAGAGATTACATCGGTTGCCTTCTTCCTGTGTGACAGATAAAGTTATGGACGCGGTAGAGGCTGCCGAGAGGAGGTCGCTTGCTGCAACCTCCAACGTTGTTTCCGGTGCAGTGTCCAAGAGGTAAGAACATCAGCACCTCAAGCCAGGCCATATGGAAAATCAGATCAGCATTTGGAACGCAGCAGTTGACTGACTAGCTTCTGCTGCAGGTATGGAGAGAGCGCAGGGGAGGCGACCGGAGACGCTTTCGCGACGGTCGGCCACACCGTCGGGACGGCGTGGAACATCTTCAAGATACGCAAGGCCGTCACGCCCTCGTCCTCCCTTCCGGGGAACATCGTCAAGAGCGCCGTCAGGAACAGAAACTGAGGCCGACTCCGCACCGCAGCACGGCCAGCGTACCAATACGTACATAGGCTGTGCTGCCTGCGGAGGACCATCAGCATACCTAATGAAGACATGTAATGCTACTCCACAGTTATGCAGTGTAATAATGTTTCTACTTTGGCAATTTCGGATGCACTGATATGTCATGAATACCAACAACCAATGCGAGAAATCATAAATCAGTTGCTTACTACGAATCGGGGATGCTGCGACAGCATGCCCTAGCCAAACACGACTTCAATTAAGCATGCAGGGAGAAAGTGCATAATCAAAATGAACAAGTGCATAAATGGAGTGGACAGACAACAAAAGAAACTGCATATCACACACTAATTTGGACGAGAAAGCCGCCTTGTTAAAGTTTTCATGAACACTTTAGCTCTAACCTCTAAGCATGGATGTAAATGTCAAAAGGCGTTATTCCAAACCAGCTAGGTTCACATCCAGGAACGAGAAAAACCTCACTTCAGTGAGGAGGAGAAAAAAACTAATAAGGACATAATGATGCCGCCGCCACTAAACCGCCGAGAGTGTAGATCTAATGTGAATGAATGTTTACTTCTTCTTCTTCCCGGCATCAGCCTTGGTCTGCACAAGCCAAAAATATCAACACAAACGATCATAGTGAGCACTAGAAAGTAGCCAACAGATCATGCATAAGTAACTCACCTTCTTGACACCACGGATCTTCTTAGATCTGTTCTTACGCTCCTTAATTTGCTTGCGAGACTTTTCAACCTTAGTAGCAAGACCATTCTGGGAAAGGGAACAGAGGAAATTATTTAGTTACAGGAATAACATTCGTGGCAGAATATAAAAATAAATACCACCATGCATTGAAAATTCAGAACCAAACACACCAACAGCTGTTTTATTCCTCTTCATAACAATTACAAATCCAGCAACATCAATTAAAAACTGCGTAACTAAATATTTACATGCCTTTTTTTATTGTCATGTATTACTCTTTAACACCATCGATCAACAAAGGAATATCAGACCTAATTGTTGTTGCCGCATATATACTAGTCCTAGGAGATTGAGACTTACCTAATTGATGATTACTCTTTTTAGTGTTGCAAATTTGCGTTAAATGGAATATCCGCACTCTACATCTGTATGGGCTTTAACTAAAATGTGGAGACAACAGAACAAAGAGCGGTTCAATGCAAGAAAACATGATACAAAATTATGCACATGTATCCCCCATCCATAAATTTGTTTCTGAACATCACAGACACCATACCATAATATAAATCTATGATGCATGGCAGTCACTATGCTGTTGCAAACAGGAGGCACAGAATACAACAAGTCAGGAACACAATTTACAACAAGTCAGCAGTGCCCCAAAGAAATCTAGTGCCGCAGCAATAAATTTGTCATCTAGATACGCACATGAAAACAGTATGACCAACCTGAAACATCTAGGCAGTGAAAGCCAAATAACTACTACTCCCTCCGTTCAGGCCGTTCACTATTATAAAATGTTTTGAATATTTGAATATGGACTAGATACAGACTGAAATGAGCGAAAAAACACACTGAAATGTGTCTACATACATCCGATTTATAAAAAAGTTAGAACATCTTATAATAGTGAACGGAGGGAGTACTATTCTTTTAGCAGATTAGCATGCATTGCTACACATTGTGATAGCGATACTAATGATGATTAGGGCTGGACTACACGTGGCAAAGAACGATCGAGCCTGATAAAAAAGCATCTGATTCCATAACTAAATCAGCGCAATGGCAACATACCCTGATCAGGCGGTACTTGGGCTCGAACTTCTTGGCTGCTTCGAGGTTGTCGTAGATGAGACCGAATCCAGTGGACTTGCCGCCCCCGAAATGCGTGCGGAACTTGAACACGAAGATGCAGTTGGCGTCCTTCACGTCGTACATCTTGGCCAGCTTATCCTTGAGCTCCGCCTGCACAGAGAAACCCAGACGATGAGATCGCTAGATCGCCACCTGAACAGCCTCCATTTTGTGTGATCGATGTCTCGCCTTGGGGACGTTGGCCTTGCCGGGGTGGATCACCTCAAGCACCTGAAAGTGAAAGGTGGAGCGCCGGAAAGAGTTAGTGATTTGAGAGATGCGATGGATCCTGGGAGCCCCGGTGACGAGGGCAGGGTGCGTACGAATTGCTTCCGGGAGAGGAGGCGGTTGGTCATGAACTTGCGGGTGCGGAGGGTGACCGCCGCGCTGGCCTTCGTATCCGCCATGGTTGGAGTTGGCCGCCGGCGGGGAGGTGGGAGACGAGAAGGTGTGATCCACAGGATGCGTTCGCGTTTGTTCCGCCGCTGGAAAACCCTATGGGGGCACTTGGCTTATATAGCGTGGCACTGTGGGCTTCGCTCGGATAATAGATGGGCTCGAGGAGTACGGTTCGAATGAACAACACTCAGAATCCCCTCAGAGTTCTCAAACAAAAAAAAACTTAGAATCACCTCAGAGTTACCAAAAAAAACTTAGAATCCCCTCATCCCCTCAAAAACAAAAGAGTAAACACTTAAAAAAATTAAAAGCTTCGTGAGATTGCCTAAAAAAACTTTTAAAAAAAAGAAAAAAATGGAAAATGAGAATAAAAATAAAAATAAAAATAGAACTAGTAGATAAACAAAAGGAAAAATTGGGCGTGACGTCAATGCTATACTGGGCCAGCCCATGAATCGGCTGCCTTCAGGCGAAGCAAGCTACTGCCTCACGGTTGGCGGGACATAGCCGCGCCACTGCCCGTGGGAGTTTCGAAATCAGTAGTTAGTTATGGAGTGCCCTTTGCAAAGGTCACTCCTACCTTCTTCGATGGTGACAAGTGATGAATTACATGCGCGACACTTGTCACAACTTAGGAGTTTCAACATAGATTCGTTTTTCAAAAAAAATTATCACTTCAGCGTGTGTCCAAGTCACTAACCATTGTCACTAGTAGAGTGCCCGTGCGTTGCCACGGGCTCTTGAAATAGTATGCAAGAGTTGCATGATAAATTTCACATGTACAAACAATATAACACAAACACAATTATTGAATAATTAAAGTTCATTTTTGCAATGTAAATTGATAATAAAAAGAAAGATTAACGACATGTCCATGTAACAAACTGAGCGATGTTCCAACTAAACATCTATTATAAAACTATCAATATCTAGATGATGCGCTTAAGAAATTCTTTCATAAATATCAAGAAAGTTGCCTTTAGCTTCATTCCCACGATGTTTTAGCAAGTATAATAAAAACCGCTTCCTCAACTCATATCCTTCCTACACAAACAATATATGTAGTTAGTATGAAAATTTCACGCAGAAGGTCTTAAAACATGTAACGAATGTGTTGCCACTGGCATTTCAAAAAAATACTGGTTGCATATATAATCATAAGGCATATCAATTTTCCATCTTGGCATAGAAAGTGAGTCTAAAATAGTTGCTTAGTTATTATGATAATCTTGCTAGTACAATTATGATAGTTACGATAATCACCAAGGAGTTTTAATTTTTGAAAGGAAAAAACAACAACAATCATTAGGCCCTTAAGAAATTACGATATGATTCTAAATCTGACCAGCCACAAGATATATCCTTCCTAATATTCAGTTCTAGTGGGGAAAACTACTACCCAACAATATACATATAATATAATCGACAATATTTTCTGCATTTGCTAAATAATCATGGGAACAAAAAATGACTTCAGGCTTCAAGATCCAATAGTATATACATAGGCTCGATGTGACGATGCTGGCGAAGAACATCGAGATGGTTCGAACGTAGGATTTATCTTGATTTTAAGG